CAACAACAACAACAACAACAACAACAACAACAACAACAACAACAACAAAAACACCAACAACACCAACAACAACAACAACAACAACAACAACAACAACAACAACAACAACAACAACAACAACAACAACAACAACAACAACAACAACAACAACAACAACAACAACAACAACACTAACAACAACAACAACAACAACAACAACAACAACAACAACAACAACAACAACAACAACAACAACAACAACAACAACAACAACAACAACAACAACAACAACAACAACAACAACAACAACAACAACAACAACAACAACAACAACAACACAGGTCACGTGTGGATAATCGCCCTTGGTTTTTTAACTCATTCGGGCAAACAGCATCTCTTACTTTCAATGGCCCTGCTGCCAATGGATTTGAATTCTGTGTTTGCAACAATGACCTAGGTTTCGGAGCAGAAAACATGGTTTCGGATTGCGCCTGCCATGAAAAGTACTAGGTCGGTAGTCAACATTCATAAAAGCTAAAAAGTAGTGCGTGCGCAATCGATCTTTTTAGCACGTTCTTCCAAGCTCTTGCGTCATTTGCGCATTTGCAGGCAGATTATATCTCCACAGAAAACTGTAAACGTACACCATGAGACGCGGATTGATGCCAGTGCCCTTGCCTAGCTTACTGTGTATGTTCCTTGGCAAATCATTGTCTGAGGTTTGGCACCATCGGTCAATGCACTGCGTCCCCGTCACCACCGGGGTTGACTCTTTGCATTTCTTGGCCGCCGCTACACGTGTCCACTTGTTCTTGGAGTGGGTGACGTGGAAGCTCGTCAAGGACTTTGTCTTCAAGGTGCTCGCTGCGCGTGGTCATGACTTTGCGCCATCACTGTGGGGCTGCGTTTGCTTCTTGAGGTCCAGGTGGGTAAACAAGTCAGACGCCCAGAGCTCAGCAAAGGCCTCCACTGCTGGCGAGCTGCCAGGAGGCAGCAACATCACCGGAAGCAGCACCACAACGCCTCGCCCATTCCTTTGTTTCAGCCCAGCGAGACACAAGTGGCCGACATAGTAACGGGGCAGAGGCTTGTCACGAGTCTTGGGATTCTTCAGCCACCTGTTCTTCGCCGCTTGCAACTCTTCCAGGAACTGCTGGTTCTGGTGGGAGACATGTAGAGTTTCCTCAAAGCGTGACCGTCGCCTTCAACTGCCCCATGCAACTTCAAGCTCTTGCTACAGAGCTTGCGGCCAGCTACTGACTCCTGAAAGCGTAGGGCATCAAACACGTGCTGAACTTGGCAGCGAGCCAGCTTGAGCTGAGCCTGGGCACCGAGCGGAGACAGGCGGAGCTTGCAGCTTGTTCCATCGACTGTAGAAGGTGACAACCTGACACAAGTCACCCCGAAATACAGAAAAGCCGGTGACATTGTGCCTCCGATTCCATTTCCAGCAACTGCATCTAATGAAGAGCTTGCCCACGTATGCGCCATTGGATGTCCTAGGCGCCGGGGAGCTACATTTACACGCAGGGCAAGTCTTGGAGTGGCTTTTCACAAAGCCCAAGGTCACCAGCTCTTCCAGCGCAGTTTCTGCTTTGACATCTAGAGCATCCACCACGCTAGAGCCAGAGAACTTTTCAGCTTTGTGTGAACGGCAAGAGCTGCTGGAGTAAGCGGACCCATAGGCGGCTTGGGCATCTTTTCGATGCTTCCCTGCAGAGTTCCCCGACTTCTTGACACACACACACACACACGCGTCTTGTACCGCGCAGTTGGAGCCTTTTCTTTTGCAGAGCTCAGCTTCTTTCGCAAAGCCTGCAGCTCACGTGCACCCGGTACAGGGCACAAGGTCAGACTGTGCCCCACACGGCCAGAGCAAGAACACGTGTGAGCCTTCTGCTTACGCTCCGTGCGAGCGCGAGGCTTGACCATGCCTTACAACATCACTAACGTTACCCCTGCAGTGATACCCAAAATGGCTGCGGAGTGAACTGGTGCATCATGCAAGCTGACATGTTCAGAATGCGCTTGCGTTCATGCACAAGACCGCAACATGCTGATGTGGCATTGGGCAACGGCATATGTTTGCTCAGCGGTGCTCGGTTTTGGTTGAAACATATTCTCAAACAATTGAGGCAGCCCAATAAGAATCGGATAGCCTGATTTGGCCATCGAAGCGCCACCTTGACGCAATCAATTGAAATTAATGATCCCAACTTGGATGGTCGCCGGTGTTGCTCTGTATATAGCAGACTTGGCCAACATGCTGAGACACTTATGACCTAGTTGGAGGACTTGCGCAAGTCCACGCCAAGTCAGTTACGGGCATGACTTACAAGTCTGCAGCGGCTGACTTGTACCTCAGAACTGAAGGACTTACTATCTGGGCAGTGGGGAGTTACTAAGTCCGCCGGGTGGACTTATAAGCAACGAAAACTGCACGCGCGCAGGGACTTGTTGTAGGAAAAACACGTTTGCAGTTTTCGTGCGTGGCACTGTTCAAGAGACAAAGTCTGCTCTG